TATGTTCATTTTAATAAACCACGAGGGTCGCGAGCCGTCGCGTAAGGAGGTAGCGCCATCTATCAATACGAACGCCAAACACACCCAACTACTGAACCCCTGTCGTCTGCGTCACTGCCCGCCGTAGACCCTGGCAAGTCTCTTGGCTTTATTTTTTACCGAACAAGAACTACGCGTTGTAATTTTACAAGAAAAAATCGGCCGGTGAAATACACCTTTGACGAAAAGATTAGATTGCTACGTGCAGGCGTTGATTTTTACGGTCCATTTTAGATCGAGCCTGGTAACTTGAACCACCCTATATATCCCACCACACCGCTCACTTTCTGTCATGGTTGCCAGATTATCGCGCGGTTGAAAGCTTTTTATCGCAGGATACTAGGACACGCAACGCAATCTTTGTGTCTATTTTTGATTAGCCAAAGTCGGCAACGAGACTTTTCGGCTCGCGAGAAACTGTCATCCTTTCAGGCTCAGTAAAGCACTATCCGATATGGCGCCGTAGCATTTTGTCCTTTAAAGGTACTGAAGTCGAAAAATACGCAAGTACACTATTCTGCATTACATTTTTTTTTGCCAGTGAGTATTCGAACAATCCAAAAGACCTTTTTTTATAAGTCTGGAAAATATTAAACAAAAAATAAATGTCTAACAGTGCCTAGATACACCAGACCCCAGTCTTCTTCGCTTCCATCAAAATTAATTGCGTTCTCAACAACACACATCTCCCTAAACACATGCACAAGAATAACAAAATTTTCCGACCCAAACAGAGTGTTCCGCACTCACTCAGACGATGAATACTCTCAGATAACGAATACACCCAGACAAAAAATATACCCATACAACGAATGCGCCCAGACAAAAAATGCACACACAAAACAACGCGCAACGTCGCGTTCATAAATTCGATCAAAAATCAGACGGCCTGAAAAAAAAACAAAAACAAAAAAAACCTAAGTTGGAGATCGTTCGACTAGAACTTATCTAATTGCGAACCTGGTTCTAAATCTCCATTAATAAAATGTTAGAAATGTAGATACATACAAACCATATACGTCGATAGAAAAAAAAATTGAGCTCGATTCAATTTTTTTTTTTTTTTTTTTTTTTTATGAAGACGCTCGGCTACGCGGATTCCACACGCTACGATACACCGCCGTGTCGCACCGTCCTCCCCGTTTATAACTCTAATTTATTGTTTTGCTCCCAAATATATTTAAATAAAATAAAACAGACACACACACACAAAAGAAAGCGTACAGATAAAGCGGGGATTTTAAAAAAAAAAGTGCAATAGATTACGAGTGACGTAACTTAACGACTTGCATAGATCCTCGATAACAGGAGAAAAAAAAATATCGCACGTATTTATGCGCCGCCTGCCGGGAAAGAGAGTCATCAATCAGAAATGTTTATTGCCAAGAACGAGGGGCTTCCTATAATCAGCGGAGCTAATGCTGATATTATGTATCTTGATCTTCAACTGGGAGGACTACAATCTTTTTGTGCGATCGTTGAAGATAGCACCGCGGAATTTAAAGCTGGGGAGGGTCGTAAAAATATAAATATATTTAAAAAAAAGCTTCGCACAAAGCCTAATCAGTGATTGGTTACTTGCTGAATGAATTTCATTTTCGCAGCACCACTGGTGATACTATAAGGCCAGTGTCACACGGGTCATGACAATAAGCGTTTAGAACGAGGGGCCCGAACATGCGCACATACCTTCATGTACACGTTTGGGCACAGTCGTCGCTTTGGCACGCATGTGAGCTCACGTTAACATGTCTACCTGTCTACAGTTTACTTTTTTATGACGTGTTTTTTTTTTCACATTTTACTTATGTTTTTTTTTTTGTTGGCGACGGGAACATCAAGTAAACAGAAAAAAAAAAAACAGACTGATCGTAGACTTTTGATTGGCATGTTGCTTGGTGACTAGCAACCAATAGTGAGAGGGAGATAGTGACGACAGCTTAGACTACTGTGTGTGCCCCCCCCCCCCCCCTTTTTCCCCCGCCAAAAAGAAGAAAAACAAAAAAATATAGTAGTGTTTGTTTTCTTTTACCACGAAGCTAAAATACGGTTTGCCGATAGCTCAGTTTTCGTTCAAATGTAACGCAAGAGGTTTGTTATTTGCTTGAAAAGTTTTGGGCGATTTTAGAAACCTTAAAAAGGAAAATGGCGGCCGAGAACGAAGCTCACGAAAACACGGAGACGGATGGCGTGAAAATGGCCCGGTGTATAAGAGTTTCAGAAAGTCAATCATAATTTTTGAGTTAAATGGAGGTTAGTTCTGAATCTTTGGCTTCTGGCCCGAACGGCTAACGCTTCACATAAACGAAAAATGAGCGTAACTTTTTTTTTTTGGGGGGGGGGGGGAAAGGGGGGGGGGGGGGGGAGACAAGTCTTCAGTGGTACGCCTTTCTCTGCGTCACGATACAAATTCAATGGAGTCCTGTTTTTTCTCCTCCGCTAAGACCGCGCAGATTAAGTCTTTTCAATCCATACAAGCACAACCAACGAAAATACGTCGTAGGCCGATTGTGTTAAGCCGCAAACCTCATTTTCGTATTCATAATCTGCTTTACCGAAACTGCGCATCCGAAACCGGAAATCATAATTTTCTCTTACTCTCACTCTCTCTTCTTTACTCTTTTGCTTTCTTTCTCTTTCCATAAAAGAAAAAAAAAATCACATGAGCAGAGATATGCGAAAAATGGAAGGTATATATAAAGAGCTGCATGTAAAGGTTGATGTGTAAGTATTAATAAAAATATAACAAAAGGAAGCTGTAGTAATGCCAAAAAGTGTCGAGGGGGGAATCTTGGGAACGCGTGCCCGCTAGGCGGAGGAGATAACTCCCAAAAGCGAAAAAGCCGCGATGAGTCAGGGTCAGGCGGATTAACGGTCAGAGCGCGGGAGGAAGCGGATAATCTATGCAAATATAGAAAGACGCTTTCTCCCCTAATCCGCGAAGATCAAGGGGGGACGCTAACAATAGCTCCCCCAGTCATTGACATTTTCTCCCCTTCCCACAATCAAAACCATAAAAAAAGAGGAAATAACAGACAGGAAAAAGGAAAAAAAGTATGGTGGCTCCCCCTAGGGGTTGCGGGGAGACGACGACTAAAATTTATCGTCTGCTTGATTGTAAACACTACATAGTAATAACGGTCGAGAGTCTGCGCACCCCACTCCATATTCCCCGAGGCCTTTTTAACTCGTTTAATGTATGTTATTGGATTGATGGTGGTTCTGTAGAGTGTCGTTGTGATTTGGATGAATAGTGCTCGGTCGAGTGCCGACCACATAGCGGTATGCGGTCGAGTTCTATAGAACTGACTGCCTCGGCGCAGATAAATACCACGCTTGTTTGTGCGTATACACTAGCTATGGCCAGTTCTGCCACTTGTGCTTTCAAGAACGTAAATAATTACTACGCAGGATCAAGATTTTGGTTACTTATGAAGAAGCCGACATCGATTAAGACGAAGTAGCAATGCTTTCGACCATAACGTTAGCATATTTAAGCGATAAAAAAAAAAAAAAAAAACATTTAATCCGAAAACAAAATATTTGTCCCAATAAACCGGTTATTTAGAATTCCGCGTGTATTCTCGAGCTCTACTGGACGCTATTTTTAAAGTGAACATTTAAGGCGATTGCCAACTTTTGAATTTGCCTTGCAAGTTTTATTATTTCTCAAATTCTGGAGGTACGTTCGAGCTTAGTTTAAGTTTTCAGTGATCGATAAAAAACAGTGATCACTATTTATTATAGATATACGAACGGTTTTTGAACCCCTATTCATGTTCATGTTCAGAAACACTTTTTGCGAGTTTCCCTTAATTTTTTGTTTTGTTTTACCACTTACTAATACATTTTGTACTAGTAAGTGACCGATGTTATTTAGCACTCTTCAGTATCTTATAAAGTCAAAATATCAAGCGTCAAAAAACAATACAATTTTAACAGGTTATTGCCAACGAACTGAAACCAATTTATTTTTTTAAGCGTCGCGACTGTCAGAAAGCTTAGAGCGGTGATTGGGATCTCATGCGCGAATTGATGATTCCATAAGAAAAGCATATCAATCAATCATGTGTTTTATCATGCACTAGGAGGGGTGCATGTACACGAGGTAAAATGATAATAAAAAATATATAACTAGTGAGAAAACATGAGTAGTAAACTTTTCTTTAAGTTTTCATCATGAATGAAGAAGTTTACGTTAGAGTTACCAAGCGTGTCGTACATGCATTGCTTGCGTGTCGAAGAAGGGCCAGATTCTAAGTCAAAAGGAGAAAAAAAAAAAAGAGTCGTGGATTTTATTTTGTCGCCGGGGAACATGGAATGAGATTCCAGTAGGTAGCAGGGGAGAGTCAATAACCGCATTGACGAAGTTTTTCTTTTTCTCTTTCACATCTTGGTCAAAAAATTGAAAATCATTTTATTTGTGCTGAAAACTTCCCAAGTGTAACTTTCCCCTCTCCTGCACAGCGGAAACACGAATGCTCTGGCGCGGTAGTCGAAGAGAACCAATAGTTCGAGCTCCGACAAGTAGGGGAAGAAACGGCGCCATCGTCGCTCCCTTTCCCCCTCTCCCCGGCTAAACAGATGGCGACACGGGAGGAGAGAGGCAGCCGAGCGGCGCGAATCCGCAGGGGAGCTCCTAACCCGAGTTCAGTCGGCGCTCAGACCGGCGGTCGCAAGGCACTGTCTGCAACCAGCTGTCCCCGAACAATAGGACCAGATGCAGCACAGGCGACCCGAACGCGACCGCTCGTCCATGTGAGATGCACCGACCACCGTCACGGCAGCTCCTCACGGCTTGTTTCATCTCTCTATTCGTCTTTCGCCTCCCATTAGCAGACGGCGCGAGCGTGTTGTCTGCTTCCGCGGCCAGGTTCCAGAAGACGTACCAGGACAGGGACGTGGATGTTCTCGAGACCGCTGATGGTCGTCATCGGACGGACGATGAAGATGGTAACGAGATGGCGTTAGTGAAGGTCTCTGGGCCAGAAAGTCTTGAGAGGAGGCTTCCTAGAAGCCTCATCATCGGAGTCAAAAAGGCGGGTACCAGGGCGCTTCTGGAATTTTTGAGACTGCATCCGGATGTGAGGGCAAGCGGACCGGAGACGCACTTCTTCGATCGGCACTACAACCGAGGTGTGGAGTGGTACAGGTAAGAATGTAGTTACGCATGGTGGATTTTTTTCGGTCGCGCACCAGTCACCTAGCTGTGTTTGGAGATTTGTGTTTGTCCCCTGTCGCCCTTTTTCTCCTTGTGCATAGATTATTATCGTCATTCTTTTGCAGCTGGCTTGAACATTTGCATTAATTGCGTTATCATGCGCTGCTGCCGCTAATTGTTTCTTAAGATATGTGCTTCGTGAGATGTGACTTCGAATATTTACATATCAGAGCGTAGCGCGATGTAATCTTTCAAACCTTACTAAATTCGTGAAATCATAAATTAATCAAACCTACACCAAAACTGGCGCGTAAAAAAAAAAAAAAAATAAAGGGAAGTATTTTGGGTTCAAACAAATTGGTTACATCAAATATTCTTAGTTTTGAAAAATATATGCATGCTACAGTTTTCTGTTGAATTTAAGGTATTCATTATGGCGAAGCTTGACAAAGTGCATATTGCAAATGCTTGTAAAGAAGTCTGACCATATTGAACCGCGGATGTTTTTATACTGATTTGGTAAAGTCCTTATTTTTTAAAGCTAACACGATTGCAACATAATTATTTGCTTCTAAATCTAGTCGATTACAATTCGAACTGCCTGAAAGTATATAGTTAATTAAACAGTGGCGCCACCACATAAAAAAATGATTGTCATTATATTTCCCAATTGGTTTCACCACCCTACTTGGCCAACATTTGTTCCGCGGACCTTTTCGATTAACTAATCACCTAGTCGGTCCTTTTCTGCTTCATATTCCCTTTTCGCAAGTCCGCGCAATCAACGCCTGTCCGCCATTGATTGACCACACACTCTGATCATGTATTGGACACGGGTGTTGACGACAGCGTTCGGCGAGGACTCGGATCCAATCACGCGCTTCGTGTTCGAGCAATGGCGACCGCCAATGTTGCTCAATGAACTTTTGAAAAAGGGTCTGTTGTTTCGGGGTCCGACTTGCGCCGCTCTGTGATCACAAAACCTGGCAGTTCGACGACGGAGCCATAGAGTGCCTGGTCGGAGATTTGGAACGCGAGGATCTCGTAGCACAGAGCATAAAATAACCATTTCTCGGGGAACCTGGACGTCAGCGCACAGCTCTTACAGCGGCGAGGACCCGAAACACACTTGTTCGCTCGGGAAAAGAGTGTTTCGGTGTCTCGCCGCTGCGCGGCGCCAGTCACGGGGCTCTCCTCTCATCCGTTGTCTGCCGCTCCACCTTTTCCATTTCGGCGGCCGCTTCTCGTGGCCATTTGCCAGGTATATAGAAGGCTATGGGTAATCCCATGAAAAGGAGGTATTTGTTTTGTCGCTCCTTCACGCCACTAAGGTTGTTAGTAGGGGCGGAGAAACGGCGGTTGCGAATCGAATAGTGCTACGTCATTCTTAACTTCACCACTATATGTCGTCGATGTTCCCAGCACTGTGAAGACTATGAACGACGCGGTGCAATACTGATAATAATTGGCGTTATCTCCTCTCTTCTTTGTTGTTTTTTTTTTCCCCGTAGGGTGGCGCCGCAACCCCCTCAAGCTTGCGAAAAACGTAAATTCTCACTCAAAGTGAATTGCATTACCTCTCCTGGTATGCCGGAGGAGGGACAGAAAATGCCGATTCCCTTCAACTAGTGAGGCCGAAAAGTGACTAAATAACACTCTATACTTTTGATAAGCTATAAGCAAAAGTGTAACTTACCAAGGAGCAACTACATTGCAATAATTTAAGTAGTGTAATTAAACATCTCGCAGGCACGGTTTTTGTGTCGCAGGATTTAGTGTGGGAGAGATTATAAAGCGTAAACCAATCCTCGTCTTTTTTGTTTTTGTGAGCCCACACGCAATAATAAATGCTGCTGACTTAAAGTATTCCAACAACTTAACCAAAGTTGTGAATATCAGAGGAAAAAAAAACCTACTACTGTTTGCAGTTTAAACGAACGCGTTATACGCATACAAGTACAGAACAGGGTCTGCGAACGCAAAGAGTGAATGCGCTAGGGGACGCAAGCTACCGCCCGACACAAGAGGTGTTGCCGTTGCCATCCGACCATAAAACAAACATCCGCAGTGATAGCACTCTTCGAATAAGCTAACATTTCTCCAAAGTTCGCGCACGTAGTCTATTTTAGTAGCGTGTTCCCAGATTTGTTGCTGGAAAGTGTTTATTTTGTGGGCATGCTTTTCTGAAGCAGGTGTTTACCTAAAAAAAGAAAGAAACTAACATTTTAGAGCCAGGTTTTATGTTTGCGGTGCTTGACAGCGAATCTTGAGGTGGTCTGACTTTCTCCAGACGACAAAGGCATCCCGATAACTGACAGCAACTGTTCGTACGGCAGTGATCGATAGGGTGCTACGGGAAGCTATCTGGAGCGCGTTCGAACGGGGAGGTAAGGTTAACTTAGCATCAACGGTAGCGCTTAGGGAGACGTTGAACTTCTTCCCCCCTCCGCCCCCCCTCCCCCGAGAAAAAAAAAACATCTTGTAAGTTTTGATAATGACATACATTCGTCCCTAAATAGACTCGCGGGGAATAATTAGGTCCCCCCTCCCTTCCCCCCCAAAAAAGTCTTGCACAATATGGATGTCTTAAAACACACACACACAAACACGCACACAAAATAGCTATGCCGTGGGACAGAATTTGAGTTAGAACGAAACTATTTCAAAACTTCGACCCCAAAACGAACCATGCTGTCCAACCCCAAATGAGTCTCTCGCAACGTATATATTGCGCTGAAAATCTTTATTTTGCAGAAAAAAGAAACCTTTGTTTAAAGCGTAAAACTTTTTTTATTGAATTCCGCCCCCCCCCCCCCCCCCCCGAAAAAAAAAGAAGACTATTCAAAATTTTCTCTCGTTCCGTTTGTTCGTGCATTTCCCGTTAAATTTAGCGAGGGAAGTTGACGGCACGTGACCTAAGTACCGATTCAGTCTTTCAGCTAAATTTAGCGAGAAAATTGAAGTATATGCCCCATACAGAAATTCAGTTTCCCCACAAAATCTAGGGGAAAACTTGACGTCATGTGACCTCTCCTCTATAGTGACTAAGACACACATTCATTTTTTAATATTTTTGTCTACCTTTAGGTAAAAGTGCGTTTTAAAACAAGCAAAATATGGAGAGAGAAATAATTGACTTAATGTTTTCCCACTCGGTAGTGGGGATGAACTTTGCATTGTAAAAGTGAAATACTTATTTTAATATACCAACAATTACAATCTGTGTTATTTCTACGGCACCGGACTTTTTATTATGCCGTATTTTAGTTAATTAGATTTTAATATTGAAGATACCTCATCAATACCCAAGGGAATCACACTAAAAGTAGATATACCAGCTTAATTGTCAGAATTTAAAAAAATGTGTCTGTTTTTGTGATCATGTTTTCTTACGTAAAGTTTAGAAATATTAGCGAGCAGCGTGGTAAGAAATATAAGTGACATCTGGCGATGTCGTATTTTAATCACATTAAAACTCGCGCGTTAAAATCTTTTTTTTTTTAAATGTTTCACTAAGAATGAGCATCAACATTCAATCCTGAAAATGCGCATGGTTATCTCAGTTTGGGAATGACCATATGATCCATTCATGAGGATTAAGAAAAAACAGAATTAGAAATGTAGGATGTTCACAATTTGATTAATATACCACATAACCACCTTAATATCATAGATGCATAGTCTTGATTTCTGAGCCCTGTACTTCAGAATATTGAAGTAACTAAGACGGACGCTCACTAACTGGTAATTCCGTTACGATCATAATAAAGACGCGGTTCAACTGTTGTTTTACTTTGCGCAGATACCACTTGGAATGAATCCCTGAAGTTAATGACTCATAAAACTCGCGTTATATTTCCCTCCCCCCACAATGGTAGTCGAATAAAAAAAATTCAAAAAAATTGAGCAGCGTTTTTTTCTCAACTCGCAGCCAGCTCAAGCGACCATGTGGCCATGAATCCGATTATATGAAGCCAATGAGATATCGAAAGAAAACGCTCGCTTTTATCATTGAAATTACACCGCAACAAAGTTTCTTGGTCAGTGGCGTTCCCTGCCAGTATACTTTCGTCCCACTTCTGCGTGTAAGCTCGTGTAAGGTGGAACGCTTCCAAACGGGCACTCTCCAAATCTCTCTCAACCCTGAAGCTGACACCCCCCACGAACACATGGGTGCAATGGGGGGCAGCATCCTTCTATTAGTTCAGGGGCCAGTGATCGCTTCCGTGGAGTTGGCAGATCCGGTAGCACAGCTGTTCTGCGGGGAAGCCGGGCCGCTCTTCGACTTGGGTAGATTTTATGGTCCTTTTTTTTCTCTCTCTCTCCCTCTAACTGCTCGCAGCATTCGCAATAACGACGTCATTACGGCAGTCTAATGCGGAAGCTGGGAGCCTATTAATAAACAGTAAATGACACAGTTAGGGGGCGACAGATCGCAAACGACACCAGTTACAACCACCCAATCATTACCAAAGTAGAAAGTAAAAGAATTGTCTGAAAGCCGACCTTCCCGGGAAGTTCATGCCCTCGGCGCGTTAGAGCACCCTATAAGAGGGGACGTGTTAATAAATTGACTGGGGTCACGTGGTGCTTTATTTTTGTCGGGGATTCGGAAGGAGAAGAAACAGAAAAAAAAAAAAACAGGAACGGCAGCCCGGTAAATCACAGAGGGGGCAACCAACAATCTAGGAAGAAAAAAAAAAAAGGACATACGAGAATTGATTTTTTGGGTCTCCCCCCAAAAATGCTAGGTCACGTTTGCTAATAAAGTTGTTCCCTTGTTCGCGTGCGAAAGCAGACAAAGAAACAAATATAACCAAAAAATTGAGGGGGAAAGCTGGAACGGGTCATGTTCAAAGATGACGTCACAAATCATTGCGTCTGCGTTCACGCTAATAAAGCAAAAACCTGAAAAAAAAAGCTGGATGCCACGCGCGCGAACGACAGGGAACGAAATTGAGTTTTCTGTCGTCGCAATTCCTATCGCAATTTTTTTCTCGGTTGTGTGCTTACCAAGTTTTATTTTCGCGACAAATACGCATAGAGTGCTTCTCTTTAATTTCCAAGCAAAAACGAATAAAAGAAAAATTAAATTATTTGGTCTATTTCTTCTTCTTTTTGCGGTCCCAACTAATGCGAGCGAAATCATCACCATCATTTATATTACTACTGTTTATATATATATATATATATAGATATATATATCCAGCAGATGCGCAAGGTACATTTTGGTCGTCTGTTTTCTTGAAATTACCCCGAACATATCTACCTTATATTTTCAGCGGGTTTCCAGTGTGCCGCGCATGAAAAATGAATACTATAAAAATACAAAACGACGTCTGCATTTGAAATAGTGAAGACATACGCTTAATCTTTCTTTTCAGCTATGCTACTTCGTCCCGAGCGCTCGATCATTTAGATTTTCAATCTGCTCCTTGTGAAAGTTTGTCCCGTCTCAAAATAGCAGCCCGTTCTTTGTCCAGGCGCATAATGAAACGGTTCAGGAATACAATTATTTTTAATGGCTACGTAATAAAGAAAACGAAAAAGAAACGAATATAGAGTTAGGGTATCGTGCGCAGAAACGGATTCCTCAATTACTGAGTAGAGCACACACACAAGTGGAAGTGTGCATACCATAGTATGGACGCTTCAGACATACAGGCGTGTGGATATATTTCTGAATGAGTATATATGCGTTTGTGGGTGCACTTTTGATGCGCTTACGAATTGAGCACGAAAAAAAAAAAAAGATTGTAACGCAAAATTGTATTAAAATTAACGGCGAGACTAACACCTTAAACAATCATGCAAAAAAAAAAAAATTACCGGCCGAAACGTGATAGTAAATTACAGATGCCTCTGGAAGTTTTGACGTCAAAACAGCGAATAAGATTTAAGTGGCTTTTAAGACAGGCCGGAACGTGGCAACATTTTACTAAAGCCTGATTGTTTCCATCGAATTGTAGCATTGGCGGCGCTCAGATTTAGTGTGAAACCAAGTATAATTGGATTGTTGACGTGTTTCCGTCAAATATTTCAATAAGTGTTTGAAATAACCTATGTCCACGCCTTGAAGCGGAAAATGTCGTAAGGTCAGAGTTGGAGAGCAGGAGATTATCGTGACACTGCTACGTATAGGAAAGTGTCTATTGGTCCTTCGATTTGTGACATTTTTTCCCTTCGATTTGTGACATCTTTTCTCTCGGAATTCTGTCCCTTAAATCCCAGAAAGCAGATGCCTCTGAGCCTCCCGGACCAGGTAACCATGGAGAAGACTCCGAGTTACTTTGTCACCAGACAGGCGCCCGCCAGAATCCACACTCTGTCTCCGAGGATGCGTCTTCTGGTCGTGGTCCGAGACCCCGTGACTAGGGCCCTGTCCGACTACGCCCAGACGTCCTCCAAGCGTCCAAACTCCACACTGCCTTTTGAAGAGCTGGCCTTCGACGAAGACGGCGTCGACCCCAGCTGGTCGGCCATCAGAATCGGACTCTACGAGCGCCATCTGTCCCGATGGCTCGAATACTTTGCACCAGGACAGATACATGTGGTGAGCGGCGAGGAACTGGTTCGCGATCCCGCTCAAGAGATGGCGCTGGTGCAAGACTTTCTGGGCCTGAGGCGCCTGGTGTCCCACGACCACTTCTACTTCAATCGGACCAAGGGTTTTCCGTGTCTCAAGAAGAGCGAGGGCAGCGGAAGTCCCCACTGTCTCGGTAAGACAAAGGGGAGGACGCATCCTAGACTCTGTGACAGTGACCTGCGGAGGCTGAGGTCCTTCTTCGAGCCCTACAACCGAAGGTTCTACAAGATGGTCGGAAGAGACTTTGGGTGGAATGGTGAACGCTAGCCGGATTGTAGGCAAACATATCATGTGCAGGCGTTCAGGCTGTCATGTAAAGTCATATCAGAAGTGTTTTGCCGTGCGTGAGCTTCAATTAATGATTAGGGCAATGAGTGAGGCAGAGCTAAGTTCAAAGTGAATTTCGTCAGGTTCAAAACTGCGGACGTTATTCCCTTGCGCTAACTTTAGAGGAGGTTGGGAACCTTTGTTAGGCGTGGGGAGAGAACAAGGTAGCAGAGACAGGAAGGTATGCTTTATCGAAGCATTAAAAGGAAGGCAATTTAAGAATATAAGACATTTCCGTCTTGATTGCAAACAAGAACCTGGCAACTATATCGTTGAAATTACTCGAGGCAGCATAGTGATGAGGTCAGTGGTGCGTCATCTAACGTTCACGGTCTGGTGAATTTTTTGGTGTTAGACACTTGACTCGCTCTTGGAAAACAGTAACAACAACGAACATTGAATGATAGGTAGTAATAAACTGACAAAACAGTTTTATAAAAGCCTTTAACGCGCATGGCCATTTTGTGGCTTCATCTATGTGACGTCTCTCTTACCTCATTAAAGTACTTTTATTTAAGTAGTAAAACACTGGATGACCAAAGTGTAAGTAATCAAATAATGAAACTCTATGACGTGCTCTTTTGTTTTGTTTATTAAGTTCCAATTCTTGGTTTATCAAGTTCTTCTTGAACTTCAGAGACGTCAAAACAGTTTGAGGTGAATGTTGTATACTATGGTATAGTAGCGCACCAGAGAACGAAACAGGTTGGAGCAAAGTGTTGGAAATAGTAGGGTGATAGGTTAAAGCCTGGTTTGTCTGCGTTGCGACTGCGAGAAACCAGGACATCCCTGCTGCTTATATGGCGTGCAAAGGTGATTCTTTGAATTGGATTCCACGCTTCATACGAAGCACAGATGTGCCGGTGCCTCGCTTTTGCTTTTCGACGCAACGCACTCAAACGCAAGTATCTGAATCGGCCTTAACACTAACTCCAGACGGGGCAAGGGGATGGAATCCGCCATAATGTAGTGATTCATATAATTGAAAATTAGACTGCCCGTGACCAATATACCAACGCCTCTTATCGGCGATAGTTGTTTTTATACGGTTGTTATCACCAGCTAAACCAATCACACACGGGAAAAAAAGCAAGATGGCGACACGTTTACTGTGCCCGATTGGTGTAGTCTGCGATAGCAAACACGCCATGACAACGAACGCCATGACGATGCCCCTTGGCGGTGTCTGATTGGCTCCCTAAAACCGTAGCGTCGTCTGCGTTCGGCCCTAAAGTGAAACGGAGTAAGATTCGGATCATGGCTGCTGCCACTGCTTCAAGAACAAGAGACTTTTCAACAGTTGAGACTACTACATACACAATCTACCGAAGATGCCCCAAAAAAAAAACGCGATTGGAAAAATAAAAAAAAGAAGACATGAACGTGTTCCGACTAGGCGTACAGCTAAGACTTTACAAGAAGTCTGCTCTAAACAAATATGCAAGCTTCGCCAGTCGATCCATCACCCGGAAAATCATGTCAAAGTAGTAGGGCAATCAAGGCCGTCACTAAAGGTGTCCACACAAACACTTCATTCTTATCTTTTGTCTGCTTCAAATACCAGAGCAAAGGGGTTTCGCAAGGTGGCAGCTTCAGACTACTCAAGACCTTCTAGTGACCGGTGGGCGGAAAAGAAAAAAAAACAAAAAAAAAAACAAACAAATTGAAGTGATGAAAAAAAAAAAATAAAGCTTGGGTCAAACAAAACGCGTGAACGTTTGGCGGGACTTGATAACGCATCTACCTAGATATTCGTCGTTTGGAATGTTGCAGATATTGAATTAGTTCGCGGTTCCTAAGTAGTAGTTTCAAAGGGGTGGTTAGATAGATATAAGTGTCCAGAGAATCCACGAGGAGAGCATTTGTGATGTTTTCTTGTCGCGACCGGTTGGATGTTCTTGGACGCGGAAATGATGAGCACCTTGTCTGAATATTAACTTTGAAGATTCATACAGCTTGGTTCCGCATAAATCTGGAAAACCTAAAAGCTTGTCCACGAACCACATTTTGGGCAAGAAAACGGACACCCTTTCATTCAATGAATACTTGAAGGGTACCGTTTGTGGTCAGCTTTCCATCAGGCACTGAAACAGGTATAGCTACTAAAACTCCTAGAACCGACGTCTTTATAAGCAGCTAGCAGACATATCACAGCTGTCTTTGTTGGGGCATTATTTCTTGATTTACAAAGTAGCTTAAAACAAAACCACGGACAGCGAGCTACATTTTTAGGATGGTCAAGGTAATACCAACATTTTAGAATATGTTAAAATGATCAAAAACAGCAAACTTATACGTTAAATAATACACATTAAAGCAATTCATTTTGAGAAAACCTATAACGAAATAAACAAATTCCCACTAAGGCTAAATACAAACTCACAGTTTAAAACGAACGAAGTCAAAGTATCTCGCAGAGGCAGCGCCTTTGCCCGAAGCTTGGTCTTTTAGTTTGTGGAGTCTAATGACAAACTGAAAATCAAATTACTTTTAGTTTGGAAAGCCAAATGCGCGGCTGTCTTATGCTCCAGTCTCGTTGTTTTCTTGTCGGTCCTCTATCGGGACACTGCAGGCATCACGTCAATTCGACAGTCACAAGTTGAAGTGGAAAGCACGTCGCAACACGAATTTACAGCTGTTTCTTGGCACCGATATTTTCTTTAGAGCTGTGTTTAGAAACTGTAAAATGCGGGAGGCCTGGCTACAGACAATCCTTACCTTCTTTAGAAAAGAAAAGTACGTCAGCATTATGCGAATGACGAGTGTACTTGAAATAAACGGACGAGTGCATGTTGCAAACGCTGTGACAGAGTGAATTACTTCTAGTCGTCGAATAAAAACTGGTGCAAACACTTACTACCGCTTTACGAGCGAATAGGCTAAAATCCTGTTCTGAACCCTCTTATGACTACTGGCGACCGGCTGCGTAGCAGCGCAGCCTAACAAAAGAAAAACGATTTCTAGCCTATTCGATTGTAAGCAGGTGCAAGCGTGTAAATTAGTCATCATGAGCCTTTTGCAAAAGTACCAAGAGGCCATGCGCGAGGCGTGCAACGAATCATGGGAACGTCCGCCGCATGTACAACGTGATACCGAAGAGTGCGAAACAGAGAGAGGGAGAAGGTACTTCAGTTGTTTACTTGTTCTGACCCTCTGGCCTGTGTCTCCTCTATCGCCATTCAAGCTGGCCGCCGTCGTCTGCGGTGTACAGCCGGTCTTACACAGACGTTCCCGACATTCCTTTAGGCAGCGCAGACGGCGTTGCACGTTTTGCATACCGATCATCGAATGGCTTGTTCCCACATATTTTGGACACCTCGCAGGTCGTTAAACCTTGGTACATACGACACGATTGAGTAACAACTGCGGCCTGCCATTCTAGACATCGATTCTATAGTCAATCACAGCTTTTTGCTTCGTGATTGGTCCTTCGGCGTTCTAATCGATGAATTCAGCAATGATTGGCCCCGGAGCGATGATGAGATGCATGTGGATTGCCACGTCCTGCGTTGCTTAATCTGTCATTGGCTATAACAAAATAATTCATATACAATCGTCAATTTGTACCGTTATTTAAAAAAAAAAAAGGCAGCGACCGTTTATTTTTTATAATGCATGAAATACAGTATTGAAGCTGCGATCGTTTAAGATAATTTACAAGACACTATGAACTGTTTTTTCGGAGAGTGAAGTAGAACCTTTGTTTGTATCAAAAATCCCCCCCCCCCCGGCTTATATTGAGGTATACGTGGCATCAATTTCTCCGCTAAATTTAGCGGGAAAACTAGATAGGAGTATAGGTCACGTGATGTAAATTTTTCCCGCAAAACTTGACGGGGAAATTATATTGATGTGTCGCTTTTCGTCCGTTCGCGTGAAGTCAACTTTCCCGCTGAATTTAACGGGAAAACTGAAGGTGTCTAGGTCACGTACTACATCGATTTCCCCGTCAAATTTATCGGGGAAACTTACTCGGTGCATACGTCACGTGAAGTCAATTTTTACGCTAAATTTAGCGGGAAAACTAAATTGGTGTGCAAGTCTCGTGACGTCAGATCACGTGACATCAAAGTTTCCGCTAAATTTTGCCGAAAAAGTGTATGGGTCATGGGACGTTACATCGCGTGACGGAAAACTGAATTGCTGTATAGGTCACGTAGCATCAGTTCACGTGACATTAATTTCCCCGCTGATTTTGGCGGGGAAACTTGATTGGTGCGTAGATCACGTGAGGTCAAGTCATGTGACATCAATTGACTTCACGCGACCTAAGCGCCATTTTAATTTTCCCGCCAAATTTAGCGGGGAATGGATGGATAAACGGACACATATTTGGGAATAAAGTTGTTCCGTTAAAAAGAATTCTATGCTTTAATGATTAACAATTTACTCACGTTTAGCATTGCATGTTAAACATGAATTGAATCTTGCACAATTAATTTTAAGACTATAAGTGAGTTGTCGGAATGTGCAATCTCACGTTCACAAATGCTCACATCCATGTAATTCTGCGGGTCTTGCGCGCATGGGTGTGCCTAGAATTTTTAAGGACATACTCGTGTGCAGAAAGTCAGGTGCCTGTCCCACCCAAAGATACGAAGAAAAAAAAAATCGGGCAGGCAGGTTGTTATAATTACCGATCGCAAAAAGTACCCCGAAGGCATATTTCTGAGGGTGCCCGAAATAATAATAATGAGAAGAAAAAAAATCGAATGCAAGGAGTCTGTCGTTACGTAATTTAAAATCAAACCCAAGAACGAAATAAAGCGAAAATGTCAGTGAAAGGCTACACCGAAAGAAAACAAAATAATCACACTATTAAACTTAAGCCTGCCGTCGTGAACTCTGAACTTCTCCCTGTCCCAAAATCTGGCGTTCATGGGATCCATTTTTCAATTAGGAAGGTCGGTCAAACTTTAAAAGAAAAAGAAAAAACACGCAAAGTGCCTTATTAGCTTTTCTCTTGAAACACAACCAGAAAAAAAATATCGATTTATGTAATAAGACAGTATAAGACAGGACATCGACACCTGCTACGACGGCAGGCATCAAGTTTTTTT